ATAAGGCGCCCAATTTCCTTGTTTTTGAATCATTCCCCATAATATGACTCAATCGTGCAGAAACTTGTTGAGTTACTCCCAGTGATTCTGCAAGTTCCTCTTGCGTTTGACTCTTCTTCGAGTAATGCCTCTAATTTAATTCTTTGTCTTCGAATTTTTTTGGCTGTCCAAAGCGAGGCTTGTCTTCTTGAAATCTCCATCCTTGAAACGTCGAAATCATTCTCTACATGATTTATCAGTTGGAGCAGTGTCACCATAAACTTCGACAAGCATTCGATGAGCTTCAGCTACACTTTTCGTCCAATTAAAGCAAAAAATTAGAACCTCCCGCAAATGCTGCTTGGTTAACACAAAATTCGACATTTTAAACACAGTAAAAATCAAGGTTTTTGTATGAAACTCAATGCGATATAAACTGAATATTATTAGCAGATGTCTAACCTCTCTGAAAACGCCAAAATCAGTTGTCACTGTGAACCATTCACAACAGCCGGAGCCAGCTTTTGGAAAATTAACCGAACTAATTTGTACTCCCAATAGTATAAAATCTATTGCAGCACTCCCAAATTTTACGTCTATTTTAATTCAGTAAAAGAATTTTTTATTTCATTTAGTAAATTCGGAGATTTATATCGATCTGCAAAATCCCGATAATTTGATCACTCCCCTTAATCGAGATTCAATTTATTTCTGATCTCCTTCTAGAAAAGGCTTTAGCCTTTACGTTTCAAGACCGAAAATTCAATTCGGAAAATTTAAAAGGAAATTTAAAACGAAATTTAAAAGGATTACATGCGTGGTATATAAATTCACATAAAATTATACAAGTACTTAAGACTCAACTCGACTGTTAAAGGCATTGATCTCTTATTGATTGTATATTCACATGTATATGATCCTATAAGATTCTTAGTTTAATATTGTTTATTTACATCGCCCGAAATAAGACGTTGTACATATGACAGTTATTGCGAAGAGTATTACTAATTGGTAATCTAAAGGCTTAGAATGCATGTACGAAATGCTGGAGATCCGGATTCGAGACCTGATGGGTTGGAAATCCTCCCTGTCAAGATAATATTTTTTCCGCAATACATTATTTATTTATAGATTTTAATGTTATTCGACAGTGTTAAGATTGTTCTAATTGTAAAATGCTTATGAGCATTTTGTTAAATTGCTAGTTAATTTATCTTATGATATTACTGCAGTAGTTCAGTGGAATTTGAGTTCCAAGATCAAAAAATCATTTCGATACGCAGTTTAAAAGGACTACATACATACATAAACTCACGTAGAATTAGATAGTTCCGTATTGAAATTGTATTAGATAGTTCCGTATTTTGAGATTATAAATTAAAAATCGCTAAAACCGAATATGTAAAATTTATAATATTTTAATACATCAAATCAATCAAATCTTAAATAAGTATTCTTTAATTATCTGTACAAAAACCATGGCTGTCAAGGTCCTTTAATTAAAAATTTTAAAACAATGAAAATTACTACTCACATACATCGTCAACGATTCTTATCCGTTAAAATATACTTAAAACGTCATCTCAGAGGATGTTATTCTCAGAGGATGTTCTTTCTCCTTTTCTCTCAAAAATTCTGAAAGGCATTATTTTTATATAAATGAACCATTTCTTTCATGTGAATGATATAATTCCTAAATGTCAATCTGGCTTCCGTAAAAATCACAGTACCATTACCTCTCTTCTTCTGTCAGATTCTGTTCTTCGATTTTTCGATAATAGTTCTTTGTCGGCTCTTGTAGCTTTAGATTTTTCTAAAGCTTTCGATTAATTATGAGCTATTGGCTGCCAAGTTGCATCATGATAACCTATGTGATTCCTCTTTATCACTTTTACATTTCTTTCTTTCTAATCATTCTCAGCAAGTTTTCATTTATAATCTTTCTCCTAGTTTCTCCCTAATATCGGAGTCTCCTCTGGTGTACCTCAAGGTTCCATTCTTGATCCTTTATTATTTAATCTGTTCGTTGCTGATTTACCTTCCATAGTTATCTCCTCTAGACCTTACATGTATGCTGACGATGTACTGCTATTCATATCTTTCAAATCCTCTGAAGCTTTCTCTGTTGCACGCTCACTAAATGATGACCTTTGATCGTTGAATGATCGACATTGAATGGACTGCATTTAAATCCCTCCAAATCTTCACTTTTAATTGCTTGTTCTCCTACCTTACTCTCTCAACTTCCTGTTTTCGATATCTCTATTCAAAATGTTTCATTGATCCCTAGACTAACAAAATTCTAAGCTTGCACATTGACTCATCATGGTCATTTGAACACCATGTTGTTGCTATATGCAGGCTTGCATATTCTCGTCTTAAACTACAATATACTTTTCGCCACATTATGTCGGTCTCTCAGAAACTACAAGTTACAATCTCTAGTAATAGCTCTGTTTAATTATCCGACACTGTATATATTCTTTGTCTCAAATAACATCATCTTCATAGAATACAATTAATCCGAAATTCTTGTCTTCGTTTTTTCTATGGTAGAAAGTACAATCATATTA